AATATCAGCAAACTCACTGGAATCAACATGTAACTTTCAACAGTAATTCTAAATTTAAAGGTCTCAGCTTCCTACTAAAAAACCCATTATTTTGGATGAAAACCCGGGTTGTTGTCTCCAATATTCACTGTACCACCAAAGATTGACACTCTTTTAGTTTCAAGGAATGAGAGAAAGGTTTCTAAGCCAATGGACTTAAAAACAACCAGGTGTTGCTGTTCTAATATCTGAAGAAATAGACTTCATACCAAAACTATTGAGAAAAGATAATGATGGCTACTTCATACTGAGGCAATCACACCAGGGCCTTTCTTTCTTCCAGGTAGCTTGGGCCCCTCAGCCCACCACCAACAGGAAGGCTGCCTTTTGGTGGAGAGGGACCCTAGACATCTAGAAGGGCAATGTATTATAGAAAGCAACAAGGGAGGGTAAGTGTGTCTAACCTGACAAGCAACTAATCAGACAGTTACTATGGCCTTTAGCATAATTGGCTGGTTCTGGGAGTGAAACCATAAACTTAACTTCTGCTTCCCTTTGCATTGTTGGGTGTTAGGCAGGGAGCAGGCTTGTTGGGGATTAACCTGGAAAAGATGGATTTGTTAGGTGAGATTAACCTGGAGATGCAGGTCTTGTCGGGGTTAGCTTAGAAACTGGAGCTAGGCTCAGGTTTTGTTGGAGGATTGAGTAACTTGGAAACTAATGCTACGTGCCAGCCTGTTACTTTACCTGAACTCGAGTTCGGTGAAATGGAGTCTGAACTTAAAGATCTGGTCTCTCAGTTTTTGAATATTATTAAAAATAAAATATTGCACATTATTAAAAATATAACATATGCCCTTTTCTAGGAAAGCCAATTCTACACAGAGAAATATGTCTGAAAAAAATCAAAAGAATTAGTCAAATTAATTCATCTTACATCAACAAACAAGAAGTAAAATTAAAACCCAAATTAAAATGCAATCAAGGACATATATTATAAAAAGTTTAAGAATAAAAATTTAAAAACAGGTTACATAGGAAGAACACACTCACTATCTTCTTCAATTGCTCTTCTATCTTACTTGTGAGCAGGGTCTCTCCCTGAACCTTTTAGCTCTCTAACTCAGCTAGAGGGACTCCAGCAAGCCCGGGGACCTTCCACTCTCCAGGTTCCCAGTGCCAGGTTCTAGGCGTGTGTCAGAGCACGCAGAGTTTCATGTGGGCTCTGTGGTCCCTACTGTGGTCCTAACGCACAGCTAGCACTTAACTGATGGAGCCTCCTAGCTCTTGTAACACAGTTCTATCTGATGGAATAAGCTGGGTGTTAAGTATTGGCTCTCATGCCCACTTTACTCTGTGATATCTGTTCTTTGTGGTCTTCCTAATATTCATGGGGACCCCATTCTATGGTCACAATGGTTCCTAATGGCTCCTATGTGCCAGTCTACCGGAGATCAATGCTTATTTTGTCATGGAGTATGTAACCTCTGTCTACAGAGGATAGATAGTTGTATTCTGTATACTCTAAGTGTCCTCAGGCTCCTTCCATCTGTCCCCATATTCCACAGCCCCAGGAGTTAGGCCTGAGAGTCTCTTTTACTGTTTTCTTAAAAGTCCCAACTTGAGCAATTCAGTTGTTTAGTGTTCCATGACTATACTAGTATCTGTCCTGGGCTTTTCTTAAAGTCTCCAGCTGCCTGCAGAATCATGGGGTTTTTCTGCCTCTACATTTAAAGAGTTGGCTTCATGACTCTTTTCTATCATTTTGATCTTGTTTTCTTCATCCTTGTTTTTCAGTTCTTTCAGTGAATTCAAATATTCAGGATTCCAGGAAGAGGGCTAGGCACCGATCTAAGTTGTACTGTCTGCTCCCTGCATTATGCCAGTGGTGTGACTTAGGAAGATAACACCTCTATTTCATCTTCCTTTTATCTGCTTACTAACTTTTAAAATCACCTTCCCCCCTTAGAATTTGCTTGTATGAAGAAAAGCAATATACTGCATGAAGTTCATAGTATCTTCTCAGGCTTATGTGGAATTGAGGATTTTTTTTTTTTTAAAAAAACTTCCCATTAAACTTGTTTGAAGACAACTGTAAACCTGACATTCTTGAAGATGTGTTTTTCTCTACTTAACTACATTCTGTTTTCTTCTTTAGAGATTGATGTTGTTGTATCAAAAAGTAAAAAATGTGTATGGCTGTTTTTCCTGTGTGTATGTAAGTGCACCCTGTCCATGGGGTGCTTGCAGAGGTCAGTAAACTGGAACTGGAGTTACAGAGTTGTGAGCTACCATGGAGTTCTGAGACTTGAATCTGGATTCTCTGGAAGAGCAGCCAGTGTTCTTCACTGCTGAGCTATCTCTCCAGCCCTGGTAAGAGGTAGGGCCTTCAGTATGTGGGGTCTAGTGAAGGTGTTTAGGTGTTGTTTGTATGTCTTTGAAGGGGTTTGTGTGACCCTGTGCCTTCTATTGCTTTTGCTTCCTGGCTGTGGGGTGGGCAGTTTACTTGACTACATGTCGACTACCAGTGTAATCCAACACAATCGTGAAAGACCTAAATCAATCGAGCAGCCCAATTATGTCATGGAAACTCTGAAATCATAAGCCAACATAATCTTGTCCCTTTATATGTTTATTATGGAGCATAGTGAAAGAAAATTAAGGCTTTGCTCACTCATGCATTTTGAATAAGTGATACTTATTCTTTATCTCAGTTAAATGTAAAAATCTTCAGAGTATTTTCTTTTTGCATTTGAAATGAATGCCTTAGGTTCAATAACTTGCATCACATTTCTATTATATGAAATGCATTTACTAATAACTTTCTACAGAGGATAATATTGGGGAAGAGATTTTGAAAGGTCAAGATAGCTAACAAAAGTCATGAGGCTGACACAATGGTGGAGGTGATGCTTTCATAGAGTGCCGGGAGCCAGCCATGGTTTGGTGGGAGGAGAAGGTGATCTTCTTTATTCTCCTCTGGTCGGTTGGTTCTTCTTGAGGCAGCCAAGGGGGATAGAAATTGGAAGAGCATCAGCGGGGGTAAGACTTGATCTTACGAGATTTGGTTGAAGCCTTTGGTCTTACAAGATATTTAAGGATGCTGTATAATAGTGTTTACTTCTCTACATTACTAAAGTTTACTTACTAGTCTACTGTAGCTGACCTGCTATGCATTTGATCCTCTGAGGCCAGAAACTGCAGTTTCTGGCCACTAGCACCTCAGCCCAGGGACAGCAGAGGATTAGGCAATGCCTTTGATCTGTCTCTGCAGGCACTGCCAGGCTCTAACTTAGGTCTGTTGGTTTGAGGTCGCAGGAAGAAAAGACACTTAAAGAAGTTATTGTAGTTTATTACTAAGTGTAAAAAGTTTCCTATGAAAGCTAGCTAAGAGTCAAAGTGGGGAAAGGAAAAAAATTCTAACAAAGGAAAAATTCTAAGTGAAGAGAATCTAAGCAGGGAAGAAAGAAAAAGGGAGAGAGAGGAGAGAGAAGAGAGACAGAAAGAGTGGGAGAGAGAGAAAAGTGAAGTGAAGTGACTGCTAATGAATGTCCCTTTGTCTTATACATCATTCAGAGTACCTGATCACATGTTACAATGTTCATCACAAGTTTACACCAAAATTCAAATCATAAATTGAAACAGAAGTTTACAATAGATAAAGCTTACATGCATATCCATTAGGAGTTAATTACCTGGCTAGACATCCATCACCTGTCTAGCTCCACAGGTTCACTGAAGGCTTAAAACTATAACTAAGAAATTAGTGAAGTTTTGTATAGATAAACCCAGGCAATATTTTCTCTTCTGTCCTAGTACCTATAATAAATCATGAGTTCCCTTTTAGTGACCTTTGGTTAATAGTCTTACAACCACCTTGGAATGTGCTCTGAGCAGGAGAGAGTCTGGTTACTATCTAAGTGCTGTTAACTGATGGCACTTGGGAGACTGGCAGAGTTCTCATAGCAGTTTTGACTATCAGAAAGGGACGTAATACCAGTCCCACTATAAAAAGAGCTAAATAATCATTGATATAATTTTAGGAATTCTTATAGGATCATCATTAAGACTTAAGAAGTCGTCTATTTGTCTATATAGCAACACTACAAGACAGTACATCTTCGTGGGTCTGCAGAGATCTGCTCCAAAGGGGTGTGCTATTGCTTAGTGATTGTTACATATGTTTAATAATAATAATAAGCATATTAATAGCAGGATCTTTCCTAAAATATGTCCTGCCACAGCCTTGCTGAATGGGGAACACTTGTTGCAGATTATATAATAATCCGAAGCAAGCATTTCAGGATGATCAACTGCTAATTATTAGCTTGTCCTATTATGGCTCCTGACAATAGAGAGAGCAAGAACCAGTGTCACATGCAGTAAGGAGCGTCATGTGTGCACATGAGGATGCTTGATCTCCAAGGACCTGGCCATGGTGCCAGTGTGCCGATATATGAGAAATAATTCTACAGGATAACATAGCATTAGAAATGTTGCATCATCTTCTTTTTCCATGTCTCTTCTAGCCTTTCCAACTCAGGTACTCACATCACCCTACTTTCTTCAGTGTAGAAGGTTGGCCTGCTTCTTCCCTCCAGGCACATGCTCCTAGAAAGAAGATCCAGACTAAAATATAATTTGAATATAGCTAGGCTCTTCTCTATCTAGATTTAACTTAAAATATCCTATTTATTCCAGCCTACATTCTGCCACGTGGCTGGTTGCCTGTGCTCAGTTAACGTGTCCATCTTGTCACATCTTCCTGGTGAATCTCCTGCATCACTCTATCCCAGAATTCTTTCTCCTCCTGGTTATTCCATCTTTTATTTCTTGCCTATTTGATACACCCTAGCCTTTTGAAATGACATCCATACAATAAACAAGACATTCTCTTTATAATTCAGAGAAAAATAAAGTGTTAGGCCAGGGAACAGAAATTGAGATTATCAGCAAACAAAACAACACTGCCAATAGCATATCAAGGTTGTCCTGGGAATGTCAAATACCAATAGCAGACATTCTTTTTAATCAGCAATTTATTCTATATTTTATGGTGCCATGTGTGGTTTAAAACAGTTTTTTTATGATCATAATCAAGATAGGTAATGACAGTAATTCAGAGTTCTCCAGTGGTCCTGTCACAGAATTATAAATGTTCTTTAGCAAGCATGTGACAGAAGTTTAGCAATTTTTTATTCATGAGCAAATTTATGATCTCTGGTTATGGTTTCTTTCTACTTTGGCCTTAAGTTTTTCCTGTTGAGAGAATTTGTAAACCATGCTAGTCACTCTCTAACACAGACTTGACAACAGGAATAGGTAAAGTTCAGGAGAATGTATGTGCATGTACTTGTGTGTGTGTGTGCCTGTGTGTGAGTGCCTGTGTATCCCTCTGTGTTTGCTTGTGCATCTTTCTGTGTGTGTGCCTGGTTTTTTTTTGTGGGCCTGTGTGTGTGTGTGTGTGTGTGTGTGTGTGTATTTGAGTCAGAAATGGAGGTAGTGAGAGAGAGCATGAATTAGTGAGATGATTCTGTTATAATTCAGGCCCAGGAGCTTTATCTTCAGGTATCTCATGCAGTTAGAAGATTGGTTAATGACTCTAGCGTTAACCATTAAACATGGATACGGTCAGTGGCTGTGGGTGACTTGAGTTTGAACTTCTATAATTTCTTTTATTGTCTTTGTTTTTAGAGGGAGGGTCTCACCATGTGGCTCTAGCTGGAATTTGCTATATAGACTAACTAGAGTGGCTTCAAACTCAAAGACATATGCCTGCCTCTGCCTCCTGCATGGAGACCTGGGGTTAAAGCGTGCATCTCCATGCTTGGCCTAAACTAGTCTGAACTAATTTCTTGAATGTGTCTCTCTGAGGAGAACTTTGGCATCTTCAGCCACCGTGTCAAGGAAAAGAAGTTCTAAGTAATAGGTTTTCCGAAAGTAAAGTCCTGATTTCAGGAGTCCACCATTAGCTGAAGCAGATCTCTCCATGTATTTTAAAAGCATTCCTTCTAATGTTTTTCTTTTCTTAGTTTCTAACAAATAAGGGGATTTAATGATTTTTCTCAGTTGTTCAACAGACACTTGGGAATCCTTCGCCATGAACTCTAGAGTTGCATCATCCACTCCAAAGAGAACTCGATAGTTGTTTAAACTCATCTTTAACTTCTCTACATCACTGTCCTTGAGGATGTCCACTACAGGATTAGTCATCAAAACTCCATCCTTGAAGGCTTCTAGCCAAATGAACTGCTGTATAGAGTTGTGTTTTCTTTCAATGGTGGCCTCTGTAGTATTAGACAAAGAAAACATAATGTTCTGATGTGTGTTAGTAGAAAGTTTGTTTTTCAGCGTGACCTTCAGGATTGGGAAGTCATAGTCAGATACATTTCTGTTTGAGATCAGGAAGATTGGTGGCACATCAAGGTTGTTTTTCTTAAACATATTCACACAATGGCTTCGGATATGCTGCAGGAAGGTTTCTCTGCTAAAAGTGTCTTTGCATTGCTTTTCATTTTCTAGATCTATGTCCACCTTGGTTCTCAGGAAGTAGAAATCCTTCTTCATTATGCTGATTGCTTTGGCAAGGTCTATATCATTTTTCCTAAAGCGTGTGGCCGAAACAATAATGAAAAAGTCATACTCATAGAATTTCATTTTCTCCAGATAATCTTTTGGTGGGAAATTTGTGGTTCCAATCCCAGGCAGGTCCCAAATAACCACATTCGGAATGTTGGGGTGTCTGTATGGAGTTCTACTCATGGTTGTCTCCACCACCCCAATTGGAGCTGAAGTTTTCTCTTCATGTCCAACCCCCCTGAAGACATTGATGAAACTGGACTTCCCTGTTCCAGATTCTCCTATCACAGCGACATTGAGTGGGGTACTAGTCAGTTCTCTTAATGCAGAAGCAATTTCATCCTTTGCCTGCTGAAGGTCTCCTAGTGTCAGGTATAACTCAATTAACGTGATGATTCCCTGAGAAATGATTTTGTTTTCTGCCTTAAACTTCTGAAAATAACTAGTGAAGCTGGAGTACAAGGCTTCACTCTGAGATGTGCCAGAGAACAGCTGACCCATGACACTGAGTAAACAAAGGGCCTGAAAGGAAGAAGGGAGAGTGTAAGTTGCAGGAGACTGTTGCTAGAGGACTCTGCAAAGCATAGTGTCCTATGGAATGGAGCCTGTTGCATTCTGATGTGAGCTAGTTCTTATGTTTTTCTGCTTGCTGTCTGTTAAGTCCTTTATTATAGAAAACCAAAGTAAGAGTATTCATGTAACCATCTGCATATGCCCCTTAGCCAACTACTTTTGAAAGTAGAACAACCCTGTTGCCTCTAATTGGACTGGAGTCTTACATGCAAATTCAAAATGTTTTTCCATCCATGCATACTTTCTTCAGTATGTACCTTCTAATTAGACTGCATTTTAACTAACATAAGTGAAATTTCTCAAACTGAGAGTCAAGTTGTCATCATTGTTTAATCAATGTTAAGTCTTTCCAACAGTCACATAAACCTTCATTTTATACTTCTACTTTCAGCAATTTTATTTAATTGACATGTTAGTTAATTTTCTTTTGCAGTGTCTTTTCTATAACTTGGAATCTATCTCCATGGGAATGAAAACTTACCATAATAACGTGAGGCTTCTTTACCCTTACTGATCCATTTACTCAATGTAATGGTTCGGTGTGCTTGAGCTATTATTTAGCTCTGTTTTATTTTAATATTTTACTATATGAAAATTATCTACCTGTACACTGGAGAGTAGCTCAGTTGGTAAAATGCTTCAAGCATGTAGAAAGCTCTGGGTTATTCCCCAATATTGTATAAACATGGTTGATTATGCACACATACACATAGCTAAAACTTATAGAATTATCTGCATATTTGTCCACATCCTGTCAACGTTATACTCCAAGATGTTTTATCCTTTTTAAATGGACTTCTTTTATGGAGAATGAGTGAAGTGGGGTTGGTGAAGTCAGTCTTCTCCTGATTTCCCAGAAAGTTAGCTCAACTTAGGCTGAGCTGCCCCTGGGACACCTTCCTGGTTTCATGACCCTGTATCAGGTGATCCTCTGCTTGAGTCAAGCTTCAGGGATGGTTCACTCTGACCTTCCAGGTACAAATTCTTGACTATCGCCCTACATCATCCACTTCTCTTCTAGTTTTGAAGTTAGGACCACAGGTTTTCTCTCCCCCATGGAAAGGCTATTTAGTTAGTCCAGATCTGCTTTTTTTTTTAAACCTTTTTTTCTACAAACCTGTCATGTTCAAGACTTTGTATGGCAGCACAGTGGGCCTCAACATTATTAAGGGAACAGCAAACTCCCGCTGTCACACTGGGGCCTCCTCTTTCTGTTTCACCCATATAAAATCAGTAAACAGACTTAAGCTCTATTTCTAAAGTCATTCACAATTGATCACTCTGCCTGCATTATCTTCTCCAAGACTTCCTCAGTCCCAGCTTTGACATTATTATATTTTCTGTGGTTGGCTTATAACAACATGAACAATCAAACAACTGTGTTGTTGTATTGACACACTGAAATCATGTCATGTCAAGTCAATTCTGAGAGACACCATAAAGATCCCCATTTTATCCAGGGAAAGTTCACTGGGTGTACAATGTACATGTTACATACAACATAACCTTTGAATTTTGTTATTTCACTGCTGGAGTCACTTGGGTCAAGTTCAAGCAACCCTGTTATCTTGGTGCTCTTCCCTACTCAGGACTTTGTTCTTAGGTACAGCTTTCACGTCCTTGTCACTCTCCCCCGCTATCCACATAGCTATTGACTTAATCACCTTTCTCTAGGCTCTGCTTCGATTAGACAGACTTTGAGATTTATATTCCCTTTGATAAGTTGCACCTACTTCTATCATTCACCATCCTTGTTTTCTGATCTCTCCACAGCACTGGCTATGCTAGTTTACTATGAGGGAGTGGATGGGAGGAATGAGGAAACCACTTGGCTTATTGTGAACATTTGTGACTGTTCCGTAAATCTACCCAGCATGTGGCAAATTGAAGTCCTACCACATTCATAGAGTGGGTGCCAAGACTCAGGAGAATAAAAACAAAAAACAAAAAACAAAAAAAACCCTTCCTGTGGTGGTTTGAATATACTTGGCTCAGGAAGTTGTACTATTAGCAGGCGTGGCTTTGTTGGAGTAGGTGTGTGTTGTTGAAGGACATGTGTCTCTGTGGGCATGGGCTTTGAGACCCTCCTTCTAGCTGCCTGGGAGATAGTCTTCTTCTGGTTCTCTACAAGTAAGATGTAGAACTTTCAGTTTCTCCAGCAGCATGTCTGCCTGGACACTGTTGTGCTTCCTGCCTTGATGATAATGGACTGAACTTCTGAACCCTTAATCCATCCCCATTAAATGTTGTTCTTGATAAGAGTTGCCTTGGTCATGAGGTCTCTTCACAGTAATGGAAACCCTAACTAAGATACCACCCTAATACAAAACAGAGATCTCCATAGAATCCTGAAGCACTGTGTATATGAACCTGTACAAGCAATACAGACTGGAGGCACAGTCATAGCCTGTTCTCTCTCTAATCTACATCTCGAGTGGACACAGCTGTCTGGGAAGTCAGAGCTACAGAACTCTCTTCAACCTGACTACAGACACAGGTTCAGACATTCCAAAGTGGTGGGGGGGGGGCTGTCACCCATAGACTCATAATTGGACCTCAGTGTTTGCTCAACAGTTAAAAGAAATAAAAGGTGAGATTCAAGCCCTCTGCAGACTTCATGAACCCCATGAATTACTACTTTGCTGCTGTCATCCCCATGTTATCACACCCCAGTGAAAGCTTCAATAGCTTCCTTCTTAGTTTTACCAATATCTAGCTCTCAGATGTCTTAGCAATGCATATGCATCAGAGTAGGAAAAATAAGGCATTGTGATAGGCAGTGTGAAGTATATATTGGCATTAAAGTCAAGAATGAATATGCAATCTGCTCTGCAAATGGTTCCTAAAGACATGTTCATACTGTAGGCAGATTGCATCTCCATCGAAGTAGTGGTGAAGAGCGTGCTTAATGGGAGCACATGTGTCCCTGTTGGTAGTTTTCACTCAGGGTGATATTTTCTTTCCACAGACTTTTAGGAATCTCTGGAGACATTTTGTATGGACAGCTGGAAAGACCCAGCAGACCATGTTTACTACATAGAGACAACAGATTTTGTTTAACACCCAATGATGTTCAAGACAGAAATCTTCCATTCTCCTTCCCCCAATAATTCTGACTCCCTACTCACATTGCTTAGTCTCAGAAAACTCTGGCTTTTGGAGTGAACAATCCCTTGATCAGGGATTGATCCCTTGGCAGGTGCAGTCCTGGGGCTAGTTGTGCAGGACATGGAGACAATTGAGGAGGAAATTGCTTTTAGAGCTTTGTAAGACCTGCTTGAGTGGCCCTTTAATAATTATGCCAAGTGTTCTACTCAAACCATAGGAAAACAGAGATATATGAAGGATTCCACCCATTGTGTGTGGCTGTATATTGAAGGCCAGTCCTGCGACATATGCAGAAACTTCCTTTAGTCCTGGGACTTTGTTTTCATACAGTCACTACAGACTGGTAGGTGCAGGGTTGACAGAGCATAGGAAAAGATGAAGCACCCAGCAGACCATCTTCCCTGAGTGCTGCCTGAGTAGCTCATTGCTGATGACCCCTGAGATGGGCAACCACAGCAAGCTGGACTCAGAGTGATGTGTGTGAGTTTAAGATCTGGAGAGAACAGTGTGGCAGGGAAGACCTGAGTAAAGACAGTGTCCTGAAAGAGACAATAACCAGATTAAATAAATGAACACCATAGCCAGATTAAATAAATGAGCACCATAGCCAGATTAAGTAAATGAGCACCATAGCCAGATTTAATAAATGAGCACCATAGCCAGATATTCTGTTGAAATGGACAGTAACCTACAGAACACAGACAGAACGTCCCTGAAGGCACACAGCTGTTCTCATATCTTCAGTTTTCCCCTCTCATTCAGTTCTAGCTCCTGGTTTGTGATGCACACTTTAGTGCAATAGCTGTCTGCAAGTTCTTCCCAATGAAGATGAACACAGGAGACCAGAAGGTGGTGACAAAGCCAGCATTACAAAAGGAAGCCTGCCTACATGACAGCAGCCTTCTCACAGGGACACAGCACATGTTCCTTACAGATGCAGAGAAGACCTTTAGCACTCATGATTTGCAATAAAGAAAACCACAGTGAACATGATTTCCAGAGGCAAAGATCTCCACAGCCAGCTCTAGCAGAAGCACCATGCAGAAGCACCTCTTCTCCACAGGTCAGGGTCCTCAGGAATGTTAGGAATGAAATAGTTGATCCTGAACTAGGAAGCAAGATGAGTCTGAGAAACAACAAACTCATACACACTGCAAAGACCTGTTCCATGAAACATTCATTATAGCCATTTTAGGGAGAGGACTTAGAAGCAAGCAAATCAATTGGATAAGTTTTACCAAAAACAGTATCCCAGCATTCCCTTAGGTCTACCTCAGCTTGAATGATGTGAGCAAAGCCCATCCCTAAGCCAGTTTTAAACAACTCCCACAAAAGCCCCTCTGTCTTCCAAGCTGAGGATCCCCACTGTTTGGGTATGTTTCTAAATGTCTTGTTTTCTATCTGTCCTTTAGAGAAAACAGATAGTGAGGGTTAGAAGTTAGATCTGAACACTCCTGACCACTTACCAGAAACTCCTGTGTCCAGTGGATTCATACACTGTAGCTCTGTTTCAGGAAGCACCCTCCTATGTGTGCTCTAGTCTCTTCACATGAAATCCACTCCTGCTTCCTCTGTGGCTCAGGTCAGTTCCACAGGAGTTTCTGGATTTTGCCCCTCCTCTCTCAGTGTGTGTTGGCCAATCATGGAGGAGTATAGATCTAGTTGTTTTCAGAATCTCCTGCATTTCCAAGAAGAGGAAAGTGAAAATGAAACATACAGTAGATTTTTGTTCGATTATCCCTTCATTTGTTGGCAGAAAAAGCTACTCAGTCCTAACATAACAGTGTGTGTAGGTGTGTGTGTGTGTGTGTGTGTGTGTGTGTGTGTGTGTGTGTGGTTGTTATTGGAAACCAAGAGGGTACACAGAGAAACAGTTCACTAAGTAGGCTGGAACCCAATCCTTGAAAGATGTTTTTCCTGATCCCTGTCTCCACAAATGCAGCTTGGACTAATGTCACACAACACATATATTGCAGATGCCAATTTTACTTTCAGCCTAGATGCAACCTATATTTCCTCGCAATTGGAGATTCATGTTCCTTAATTCTTGTCATTGTCAACTCCTCTGTCAATGCAGGGATTTGGTCTGGCTTGGGGATTGACAGGTTTACACATGCTGCTACAATCACTGGAGTTCACTTGCCCAGCTGCCTTGCTGTGTCCAAAAGACACAGCTTCATCCACTGACTCTGGCTCTTATAGTCTTTTTACTAACTCTTCCACAACCATTCCTCTGCCTTTGGAAGTAGAATTATATGTGTATATATATTATGTGTATATTAATATGTATATGTATCTATTTATTGCTGGATATTCTTCAGTATCTTATTCTCTGTATTTTGGCCAGTTGTAGGTCTATTTATTGGTTATTGTTTACTTCAAATATGAGCATACATAAGAAAGGTTGAGAGATGCCATAATCTATGGGTATAATGATAAATCATTAGAATCTGGCTTAATATTATGTCCGTTGAACAGGATAATAATAGCAACTCTCACCTAGGGTCTATGACTATTCTAGCGTTAAGATTTTGCTGAGATGTGGAGAATCTATGAAATGTTATCAGGAATTGGTTACCTGAATGACATTCTTGCTACTATTACCCTGGTGGGTATATTTTATCTGGAAAGTTATTATTGTAGATCACAGAATTCACAGGTATGTATGATTAATGGTAATTTTTATTCTTTGGTAGTGTAGATAGAACTTTCTTGCACTCTGAAAGCTAGTGAGCAGGGCTAAAGCTTCTGTCTCAGGGTCAGCTTGATTTTTCCATGTTCTCTAACTTAAGTATGTGTTGTTTCCACTTCTTGGGTCTTACCCTCAAATTCTGGGAGGTAACTGTAAGAATGTAATTTCAAGTCTCATCCTGAACATAAAAGATCCTTAAGTCTGAGTTTTGGTCTACACGCAAATATTAGTTTTCCCCTGAGGTACACCCCAGGAAGAGCACATTCCAAAGACTAAAACAAACATTCCAGGGAGAAGGATCCAAGATAAGAGTATTATCAGGGAGATGAGTTCTTAGCACAAGTATTCATGGGTAAACAGAAGTCACTTAAGCTAATCCTCTTTGTGGTGTAAATTTGAGTTGCTTAGAAAACAGGGCCTGGGAATGGCTATTTGAAATCTTTTTTGATATTGTCTAAGAAGTAATTAATTGTCCTTGTACACTCTGTATATATACTAACCTTAACCTTAGTTCGGGGTTCTTCTTGCCTACGAGCAGAAAAACCCTGATGCACTGGTCACTATCAATTCATCAATTCATTAATTTGTCAATAAACCTCATGCTGTTGCACCAAGTCCCGTCCATGAGTGTCTCTGGGGGAGCGTGTCCCCTGGTTTTGGATATTTAAGTCCAACATAACCAAGAGCACTGACAATAACTTGTAGTGGTCAGGGACCTCACTGTTCAACAATCCAAAGTAGAGCCTAACTCCATATTAATATTAACTTAATTGTTATTTCTCTTGCTATCCAAAAATAAGTTCCACATTAATCAAAGAATTCAAGGTTAAACTTAAATTCCTGAAAATTCTATGGGACTGTATAGGGAGTACATGTCAGAATGTTCAGGTTCAGAAAGAACTTTCTGAAGAGAACCTGTTTCACACAGGAAATGCAGCCATCAATCAATAAGTGGACTTAGGAAGGTAAATTGCTTCAATACTGTGAAAGAAACTGTTAATCTATTGTAGGCAGTGTTCAGAATGGGAAAAAAATCACCAGCAGTAAATCAGGTAGAGGATTGATATATAGAATATGCAAAGAGGTGAGAAAAGTAGTCACTAAGAAAATAAGCAATTCAATTTAAAATGAGTTATGGAACTGACTAGTGAGTTCTTAAAAGGAGAAACACCATAGCCAAAAAAAAAAAAAAAAAAATAGTGAAAAGAGTCTTCAAAATCCTAGCTATCAAGATACTTTTAATTAAATTTACATTGATCTTTCATCCAACCCCAGTCAGAATGTCTAAGATCAAGAAAACAAGCAAGACTCTGACCAGGGAGGCTAAGTGCAGATCTTCCTCTTTCCACATCTCCTCTAAATCCAATAGTTTCATGACCAGCTGTGCATCAGACTACCTGCTGAGGTCTCCTCCCTTACCCCATGCCCCTATCTCCAGTGGACCATACAGATCTTTCCCTCCTAAGTCTCCTCCCCAACCTACTGCTTTATCCTAAGTCCCATTGCCAGCAGGTACTCCCTAGGAACCCACAGACCACTCTGGCCAGGGAACAGATAGGCAATCTGCAGATTTTCACTTATCTCCTTTCTCCCCGAGATCCAAACCCTCAGTCTCATGACCAGGTTTATAGCCCACCAACTTCTGAGGCCTCCCATGCACCCCTGCCCTCATCTCCAGTGGATCACATAGATAGCCTCCTCCAAAATTCCCTCCTACCACTCATTGCTTTATCTCAGCCCCCAACACCATCAGGGAATCCCTAGAAACTCTCACACTCCTCCAGCCAGGGCAGCAGGTAGGCTAACTGCAGATTATCAATCATGTCTCCTTCATTTCTCCCTAATAAATCCCTGAGTGTTATCCACAGATCCCTAGCAGACTACTTGCTTTGGCCTCTCCTCTTCTGTCCTCATTCCTGGGGTCTAACAAGATCCTGGTATAAGGGGGTAGTGTCAGGATTTGGAGGAAATGTGAGAGAATTACAGAGGGTGAGGTAATTGAGCAAAAATATGTAGCAGAGGGGATGAGGAACTTGGGATAGCCACTGGAGCGTCCCAGACACCAGTGAAATGTGAGACTCCCAGAACCCAAATGGATGACTTTAGCCTAAATGCACAGAAAAGGGGGAGATAGACTGTGTAGAGACCACCTCCAGTAGATAGGCACGGGCTCTAGTCAAGGGATGAGGCCACCCACCCATCTTAAATTTTTTAACCCAGAAATGCTCCTGTCTAAAGGAAGAACAGGGACAAAAAAATGGAACAGGGAGTGAAGGAAATGTCAAGTGAGGACTGCTCCACCATGGCATCCATCATGTCTGCAGATACTAAACCAGACACTGTTGCTGTGGTCAAGAGGTGCTTGCTGACTGGAACCTCTTTTGGTGGTTCCTTGGGAGGTCTGGCCAGCAACTGACCAATGTACATGTGAATGTTTGGAGCCAACCCTCAGACTGAGCTCAGGAAACCAGGTCAGGGAGCTAGCAGAAGGAGTAGAGGAGCAGAGGGGAATTGCAACCTCATTGGAAGAACAACATAGGCTGGCCTGACCAACTAGAGCTCCCAGAGACTAGATCACCAACCAAAGAATATAGCTGGAGGGATCAGTGGCTCCAAATACATATGTAGCAGAGGATAGTGTTGCCTGACCGCAGTGGGAGTGGAGGCCCTTGGTCCCAGGGAGGTTGAATGCCGCAGCATAAGGGAATGCTCGAGCAGTGAGGTGGGAGAGGATGGGTGAGTGGGAGAGGGTGGACGTGGGATTGGAATTTGGTGTAGGGGCAACCAAGAAGTGGGCTATTATTTGAGATGTAAATGAATGGAATGATTAATTAAAAAAAGAAGATTCTGGTAAAATACTCTGCTTCCCTCCCTTCTTTGGAGCCCCTCAGCACCCTCCCAGCACGTCTCCATTGCTAAGTGTCAGTTCCCAAAACCTAGAAACACATTTTACTTGGAACCCCTAGTGGCCACACCTATCAGGACACCAGGAGGATTTCCTACAAAACACACAGCCACCTTACTCTCCTAAGAACTAGAAAGTGCAACAGAAATCAAAATCAAAGCACATTGTCAGGATACCAGCAGTCAGTTAAATAGCAAACACCAAGCATGAATCAGAGGCAGTGGTATGATCCAACAGAAATCAAAAGGCTCTGTCAAATTGGTAGGAGTCAGCAGAATCAGACAGAATCAGCTGGAATACCAGGACAAGGTCTTTGGGATGTTTCTCTCTGTGAAGACAATGATGACCAATGAAGACCAGCAGCGAGCAGCAAAGACTACTGAAGAAGTGAGGCACTGAATAGTGTAGCAATGCAAGAGCATCCTGTCACTGTTTGTAGGTTTCCATTTATATTCTTCCCAAACTTCACATGCCCTCTGAAGTACGTGTTTCAGGAAAACATCACATGTCTTCTCACAGGACAGCTTCCTTATTTATTTATTTATTTATTTATTTATTTATTTATTTTATTATTTATTTATTTATTGTTTTACCTATACAGCCTTTGCTTACTATTCTACAGGGGAAGGGCATATTCTATTCCTGTTTCTTACTTTTTCATATATTTCAGGCAAAACAACTTAAGTCATCCCCCTATACTCTCTATCAAGTACTCTAACTTCCTTAAACTACTTAAATCAAAACAGGAATTCTGTAAAAACATCAGTTAATCTAAATAATATTATCTCATAAATGTTCATCTTATGCTGATCTGCAGGAAAATTGCCCAATAGAGTGGGCTATCACCCAGGAAGGAATCACACCAGGCTATAGGCACTGAGGTCCTCCCCATGCCCAATCACAGCATACTAGAGATATAGAAGAAATATAGCAATGACAAACATGAGAAGGCACATCAGTAGCAAGCAGCAATCCTGAAA